TATGAAGTAATAATTTTATGACGAATAAATCTTTCAGTGAGTAAAACTGGCTGTCTCTAGTATTAAAGACTACACAACATTATTATATTATCTTTAATTTTTAAATGATTAGTATTTTAAATTATTGTCCCTGGATTAGTAGGATACTCTTGTAATAAAACGGGCCCCAGATGCTTGGCTGTGGTTGTTGTTAGCCAGTCAATTCATTCTAAGTGTCAGAGAGGATGGAGAAGGTCATGAAAAGATGGATTCTGACTGTTTTTGGTGCAAAAAAAAAACTTTACTAACATGTCATATATACATATATATATATATATATATATATATATGTATGTCAGGTGGGAAATGCATTTTATATGATCATTATTGGGGAAAAAATGTGCAAAAATTGCAGTACACTCAAAGGTACACCTTTATCTATCATTAAAGTACTAATATGCACCTTATTGACGGTAGATACAGGTACAAAGGTGTACCATTGAGGGCACATTCCAAGTGACAAGCTATTTAGGGCAAGATTGTGAAAAGAGTTGTTTTACACCACGTGCATTTATATATGCCTTTGTGCTTTATGAACTGAATGAAGTCATCTAGTACAGCAGTGGAATGTTAGTGCGATTTGCATTTTTGCAATATGTTGCTAAATCTGCCTGAAGCGTCATTTCGTTTTGCCACAGAAGCTGTTTTTTAACACCCTATGTTAACACTCAGCAGTCAGACTCTCACCCGCAGGCTCATTTATGGTGACAGTCTCTCACACATTACTCATTCACTCATCATGAGGATAGACTCACTTTACAGTCTCTCTCTCTCCAACTCTGACACAGATGAGCATTTTTCCCCTCTCTTTGGCACTCCATTTGAAGCATTAGGCCTCAAATCAAAATATGTGCATCCTTAGGCCATATGTGCATGAAATGCAGCAAGTCCTAAAGGGTTTTACATATGAGATTGCAATGATGATTCTGGATGCTTAGCGTTCATTATGTATATATACAGTGGGTACGGAAAGTATTCAGACCCCCTTAAATTTTTCACTCTTTGTTATATTGCAGCCATTTGCTAAAATCATTTAAGTTAATTTTTTTTCCTCATTAATGTACACACAGCACCCCATATTGACAGAAAAATTTTTAAAAATATGCTCTCTTCCTCGATGAAGGAATTCTCTCTTTATTGCCGTCCCTCTGCTCGCACGCCCACGCAACCATAGCAACACATTGTCGTATCATAGTAACCACATTTACGCAGGGAGAAAAAATTAAGGGTGGGTTGTAGAGGAATCTTTCACTGATCACCATGAGCATGTAGCTTGAAGATGGTTCCTCGTATTCAATGTATGACAAGGGTGAGATTATGAAAGTCATTTATCACTAAATGTAGATGGAGTTTGAAAATTAAACCTATATTTTAAAGCTTTTTAATAGAGGTGAAAGCATATAAAGAAATGTAGCACACTAACCAGATATTCGCTATAACATCTTATTGAAATTACTGTCAATCCTGATTCTAGTTCCCAGTTTGTGAGCCATATAATGCAATTAGCCCTCCTCGTTTGGTTCATCTGAATAGCCAATCAGTGGCAGATGAGGTAGAGGACTCTTGTTATCAGAGTCACTCCAGCTCAGATGAGGCCCTAATCAAGGCGCATCGGTAATATTCAGTGGTCAATTTAATTCCCTTAAACAAATGGCCCAATTATCAGTGACCAACATGTGTCCCTTTTCACTCTCCATCTGTGAAAAAGCCCCCGTCTGCTCTTCTATGGAGATCCTCCTTTATTTGGGATGCAGTGGACCGAAGCTAATGAGATACGCTAATAGAGCAACTCTGTAAACCCCAATCACCCATTTGAGCTAGTTATTTTCCACACGGACCCTGCTAACTGTCCATCGAGGGTCACAAAACATTACAACTGACACCTTTGTTTATAAAGGCTATTTCTGATCCCATATCAGCTTTATTAGACAACCCTGCTGGGAAATCCAGTTTAAGCTGTGTTGATGTTTTTTGAAACATGATAGCTGGTTTTTAGTTGGTGGACCATCAGTAAACCAGTTACAAACTGCTTATGCCATCTTAAAGGGATCATTTCATTTCAAATCTGTATGATACAAAATATTATATTATAAAATGTTAGTGTTTTTTAGTGTACAACAATGAAAATCAGTGGGGTCCAGTGTTGTGTTTTTTCCTCATTAAATTTAATTTTTGGACCAAAATATAAAAATATATTCTTTACATTATTAAAAATAAAGGTTCCAAAGGGTTCTTTTTTTCATCTATGCCACAGAAGAACCATTTTTGGTTCCCCAAAGAATCTTTCAGTGAACAATTAAAATTGAATTATTAAAATTAATTAAAAGAACCATTTTAAATAACCTATTTCCACTATAAATAACCTATTTGTGCAAAGCAAGGTTCCATGGATGTTAAAGGTTCTTCATTGAACCATAGATGCCAATTAAGAACATTTTATTTTATTTTATTTTTTACAGTGTAGAGTGAGGGAATGACAGAATTTTCATTTTTGGGCGAACTGTCCCTTTAAAATGTTAAAGTTGGTTTTTGAGACATGGTGGATGGTCAACCATCTAAACCAGCTCCAACTAGTTTAAACTTGATTGCTATCTGGGAGACTGACATGTTTATTTAGTGTTTATATTTAGATCTACATGTAAAATTACATTTTGCTTTGCCCACCGCCTCCCCACACATGCTTAGCAAATATAGATATCATGAATACTTCTCTGTTGTTTGTAGTTAATGCAGCGGATGTCACAGACAGTGAGTGCTTGTTTTGTAATGGCCTAATGTGTTTGAAAAAGGAGGCAGAGGGCAATAGTGTTTCCTCTTTTCATTCAAAAATAACCATGGATATCCAGGTAAATATAGTGGTTCTGTCTCAATGACTGACAGCAGCAGTGTTTGTGGGGAATTTCCTGAGGGGTCCTGTGTCTCAATTTTTGTGCGCACTCAAGCATGAAGGAAAAACTCTCTTGTTCCTGGCTATAAAAAAGCATTCATTCTTGGCTGTGCAAAGAAATAATCAGATCAGCAGTTTTTTTTTTTTTTTTTTGGAGTTGCCCACACTTTTTGCCACATAGTTTCACTGTGGTGAGGACAAAATGAGAGATTACAGACACAGCATTGAGAATCACCTTCCCAGCAAGAAAGTGATTAATTAACACAGACTGAACTGAATGCAGAAAGCTGCCATTTTGAAAAAACATTTTGTTTTTGGTTGAATGACAACCACATTTGGCCTCAGCGAATGGGGAACGTTCTCAAAATATGTATTTTTTTTACATATAGTTAATAGACACAAAAACATTCATACATTGTTTCTGAAACGGTCTAGTTGGACGTTAGTCTAATGTTTTTTTTTAAACGTTACTACTACTTGTTTCAAATGGTTCAGAGAACATTCAAAAGTAACATTCCTATAATGTTTGTAAAATTATACAATTCTAACGTTTAAAAACTGGACATTTGAACGTTCTGAGAATGCTTTCATCCCTTAATCAGAACGTTAGCAAAAATGTTCTTTGAACATTTTTGTTAGCGGTGTCCATAGCCATCAGTCAGTTCAAAAGAGAGCAAAGTTCACATGATTCAAGATAGATGATCAAAAAGGGCATTTGAGCAAGAGGACAGTTCAATCCCGGGACATCCTGTCCATTCCCACTCCACCCACTCACCTGTTCCTGACCCATAAATGAGGTCACATTTGGCATAAACCGTGGATTCTCCCTCCACTCTACAGGACACCGTGACGCATAAGTCTGTATATAAAACATTTTCACACACTCATGGGTTGATGCACACACACGCGCACACCTTTTCTCAAGGACACCTCCACATGCGGAGGCATATTGGCACAGCTCATCAGCCCTCCTCTCTCTTTGTGCCTGCTGGGTGGGTACAGCACATCTCGCTTCTGCGTTTGGCTCACAGTTGGGTTTACCGTTTATCTGCCATCCAGCAGGAAACGGCATGAGAATGTCACATTCTCACCCACATACATCCCAGTCACCCACTTCCTAAAGAACACGTCTTTATCATGATCTCTGCTATGAGGTAATGATCGAAACAACCTGCTGGTGCCATCTGTGTCTGTCTCTATTTACCAAATGAATGTGCCCGTCGTATTACTCACCTACTGTAGATTCTCAGGTGTGTGTGTGTGTGTGGCCAGCTGTATGCTTGTATAAGACATTGTTCATGGTACAGTCTAGCTCGGGAACATGTAGCAAGTCAGTAGGAAGAAGGTAAAGAAACTGGTTCACTGGACAATTGGGTTACAAAACCAACTGCAAGATTCCATCACTTCAAGTTGTCTATTTTTGGTCTTGGACTCTGTGTGCTGCACTGCCCCCATGTGGCAGACCAGAGTCAGTTTCCAGACCTGTGGTTATGTAAGACATTGCGGGGAATGAGTCATCATTGGGTAGAGAGAGAGAGAGAGAGAGAGTTTCGACACAGATTGATCTGTGTAAGTGGTCACTCCTGAAGAGCTGAAAAAGAACAAACCGAAGCAGTGGTGCTGTCAGTGGAAGGTTCTAGAACTCATTCATGTATGAGTGTATGGCTACAAATAGTCGGACTGTATCTTGGATATCTGATCATGGAATCATCTTGGTTTTTATTCATTTTGCTGTCCAGGTCAGTCCATGCAGCATTAATCTGCATATCAGAACTAAAAAAAAATTAACTACATTTTATTTTAATTTAACTAAAAAGTAAAAGCATAATTTTAGTCCAAAGAAGACAAATTTGCTGTGTATTATTAACATAGTATAATATATACTGTTTAATATAGATGATATAATATACATCTGGCTGAAATTGCACTTATTTCAAAGGTAGACTAAATGTAATATATTTATTAATTTATTATAAATTGCCCTTTTATTAAAAAATACCATTTTAATTCAGATGTTACATTATATTAATTATAATTATTATAATAATTATGTGCCTACTAAATGGCTATTTCAGTTAAAAGAAGACCATTTTTAATATATTATTTAACATTAATCCAAAAAATATATATTTTAACTTGTTAATTTTTGCTAAACTAAATATGAACAAGAACACCTCCTACACACAATCAAGTACTGTAAGTCTTGTGACATCATTACCCCATTAGCCTCAAGTACAATAACTCCATTGTGATTCAGGCCACAGCGATTCCATTCAGAGAGGTTCTCTTTGCCATTCTGAGAATTGAGAAAGAGCTCTCTTGCTTCCAGTATTGGACCCGGTTTAGGTCCAGAAAGCTCTATTAACCTGCATCTGTGACTCAGTGGAACTAAAATAGTATTGATCAGAAAAGATTGAGTTTTGTCTGTCCTACTTTACTAAATGAAATGTCACTGTCTTGCACCTTAAAGGGGTCATATGATGCGATTTCAAGTTTTCCTTTCTCTTTGGAGTGTTACAAGCTGATTGTGCATAGATAAGATCCCTGAATTTGCAAAGACTAAAGTCTCAAAACCAAAGAGATATTCTTTATCAAAGTTAAGACTCTGCCACGCCCCCCTAAAACGGCTCATTCTAACACGCCCCCACATATCTACCCCACTATGTGGAAATATTTGCATAATCCCGCCCTACAATAATGTACAGTATTTGAAAAAGAATGTGTTTTTTGAACATTAAAGCATGTCAACATATTCTGTTACACCAAATACACAAAATAATGATCTTTAAAAAAGCATCATATGACCCCTTTAAACATTTTCCATATATAGCTCCGACATGATGCTGTTGATTATACTGAATATATAGTTCTCACCTCTCTAAATCGGTTCTTTTTCTAGTCAGGCTTGTGCTAATGAGGCTGCAGAGAGGCGGACAGCTGCTCAGTAGGGTTCCAGTCTATCCCGTGGTTAGATGAGTCAAAGATCGGAAGGGTGGGTGGACGGGTTAAGCAGGGCACGTGAGTGAGACTTTCCATTTGGCGGAAAACGATGCATAGCAGAGAAATGCCATGAAAACATCCCAGCGGGAAGGCAAACATATGTGGGTCAGGAGCCAGAATTTTATGGTCTTATCAAATTTATTATAAATCCAAGATCGAAATACAACAACGGCAGCATGGTATAAAAAAAAACTACGCAAAGTAACATGAGCATTATTGATGGTGGTGGTGGTGGTGGGGTAGAGGTTTGGAATGACTGAGTGGTTACCGAATAACAACAATGAATAGAAACAATACTGAACGCAGAGATAGATTATACATAGTGGAAAATTAAAAGAGGCTTTTTGACACTAAGAACATACAGAGATACTTTTTACAGCCTTGATATTGTTACTACATTTATTTGAATAGGAGGGATTAATTATAATTGCTGACATCTGAACTGGAAGATCAAACCAATGGAAAGAGTCTGCAGAGCTGCAGCCCTTATCTTGAGAAAGAGGCTATTTTTAGAAATGACAAAAGACAGTTTACATTGGTTGTACAGCAGGTTTGGAATCGCACTCTCAGGAAAAAAAGGTACAAAAGCTGTCACTGGGGCAGTACCTTTTCAAAAGCCACACCTTTGTACCTAAAGAGTCCTTATTGGTATCTTAAAGATACATATAAGCACCTAATGTGTACATATTAGTACCTAAAAGGTACAAAAGTGTACCTTTTGAAAAGGTACCACCCTAGTGACCGCTTTTGTACCTTTTTTTTTTTCTGCATAGTGCAGGTAGCAACTTTGCCATTTTCCATATGACACAATATAGTGGGTTATCTTGCTGACATTTTGTCCTTAAAATATAGTGCCTGTCTCTAATAGCCTTTTTATTATTTATGTAGAGGTTTTATAAGTTGGTACATCTCTCATGAAAATGACTTCTCTACAATTTTGGTAATGATGTCTGTCAGTTGGCAGACATATCCAGCTCATAAGCCCTCCTTGTTGGATGACTCAATCAGTGCTCTTCCACCCCCTTTTTCCCTCTCTGGGCATCTCTACATCTCTCTCAGTTAAAAGGCATGAGGCCCAACGTAGATGGTCAAGCGCAGGACAGAACTGGTGTGGTAGCTCACGAGCGGGTTCATAGAAACCATCTCCAGATCCAGCACATACTCTCTGGGGCCATTCACGGCACGGGCGAGAACAAGCATGGCGCTGATGTTGTTGATTTGCTGAGGAAACAGATATGACCGGCACAAGGATCATTTCAAATTTTGGCTCTATAAGAAATGTATTAGTCTACTGGCAGGAATCAAAGGGGTCTTCCTGATTGGGGTCCGTAACATTTTTAAAACTGAAGTCTCATGCTCACCAAGGCTTACTGACTCCTCACTTTTGAACTGTAGTGTATATATTGAAGAATATATTTTCCCAATGGGGTAAGAAACAAATAAAACCTTATTTAAGATATAAATTTAGCTTGTTTTGAGGCTGTTCAGATCAGTGTTCTGGAAAGCGACAAAATAAAAAAAATACTGTATATCTGTTTTCAGTATAAGAAGATTATACACTAAATAAAGTTAAATAATTTTTAAATTACCCTGATGTAAAAGTCTCCATTGTCGTCTCCAGAGCGGATACGGAAGGTGTTGTAGGCTCCAGGTAAGACGCTGGTGGCCTGGATCTGAAAGATATCTGAGGGGACGGAGCGCTCGGACGTGATGCTCATGTAGCGATGCACAATGGAGTAGGGCATGTCTCGACAGCCAGGCTTTGTGATAGGACATGTACAGCGGCTGAATGAAGAGAGCAAATTGTATCAGTTAGGAAAGATTTCAACTAAATTGTTCAGGACTAAACGTAAGCGAGTTGAATAGATTTGAACTGACCTGCACTGAAAAGAATCAATACGCTTTTACAGAACTGGCCTGTTTTAGAGTGAACTCAACCAGTAACATTTTACATGACTTAAATTTAATTGAATTAAACTTGTTTGAATTAAGCTGAACTGAAAGGAGATATATAAACTAAATAGTACCCACTAGGTTAGGTTTTTGCATGACTAATAACTATGTTAGCCACAACTGTACCAAATTATACAAGTATGTGTACCATATGTCCAGCAAATTGGCTTAAAATTTTGGATGCCATCCATCTAGCCAGATATTTCTTCAGAAACGCCGGACCACCTGTTATTCATTTCAAGCTTGTGGAAATGCAGATTATGTTGAGACATGCTTAGAAGCACAGACTGAAGAACTGGCCTCAGATATGGAAAAATAAACAGGTCAATAAAAAAGCATGTCGGGTATGTCTCAAATAGACACTACTGATGAACAATAGACAATTATGTAGAAGAAAATATCTCATAAATGCTGATGCATAACTGTGTGTGAACTGAATAGCCTGCAAGTGTTTGTGGTATTTCCAAATTGTTTACTTACTCTGACACTTGTACGTAGGGTTCCTGACAGCTTTTGTTGTCAACACACTTGTGACCTCCATGAATGTTCACACAAGTCTGTCCATCAGAGCACTGATGAGCTCCTGTCTCACATTCATTTATGTCTAGATTCAAAAGAAAAAAAAAAAGCATGTCTCTCATTTGTCCTATGAGTGAACTGGGAAGCAGAGTGTGCAGTGAGCGAGCGTTAAATTGAGGTGAACCTTGGCAGAGGCGCGTGCCCAGGAGCTGATATCCTTCAGGACAGACACAGGAGAATTTGCCGTGCTCATTAACACACTGATACTGGCACAGGTAACTGGAGTAGCTGCACTCGTCTATGTCTGAAAACAGAGAATGAATATGATCAGTTGCTCCTGTTGTAAGATGCATAAACATTTTTCTCTAATATGTGTATTTATTTTAGTTTTTCACATTTGTCTGTTTACTCCCAGCTTACCATTGCAGGCAAAGCCATCTGGCCCCAGCTCATAACCCTGCTCACATCGACACAGGAACGTCCCGTACGTGTTATAACACCTCTGACTGCAGGGGGCCCCCATGCTACACTCATCAACATCTAAACGCAACAGAATGATAAAGCAGACAGGATTGTATATGAAAACACTAAACGTAAACAGTGAAGGATTACAAAAGATTATGTAAAATAAATACTTTCTGAGCTGGACTGGTTATTTTTGTTGGCATAAATAAAAGTCTGATCAATTTAAGTGGCCACTTAAGCAAAATCAAGAACTCAGTTCATTCGTTTTAGGAATACCCTAAAGGAAGGAAGTGTTTTGTTTAATTTTAGAGCACCCAATGAGTCAAAATTGTCTTAATGCACATTCCTGGTATTATTGTGTACGATTAATCAGTGCATGATATTCTACAGAAAAATATCATCCTAATAAACTGAAATAAAAAAAAAAGTGGAAGGAATAGTTTACACAAAAATGAAAATTTAACATTACATCACTTGCTCACCAATGGATCCTGAATGGGTGCCATCAGAATGAGAGGTCAAATAGCTGATAAAAACCACAATAATCCACAAATAATTCACATCACTCCAGTTCATCCTGTTGACATCCCATGAAACTATGCGATTGTAAGAAACAAATCCATCATTAAGACATTTTAACTTTAAACCATCACTTTTGGCTTCGGACTGTTTTTGCCTATAAACGTCCTTGTTCTGTATATATTACTCTGATGATTTAGACAAGATGACTTTTTTTACTGGAGAAAGCAATATTATAGAAAGAGGACCTGTATTTTAGTCAGAAGCAATTTTGAAGTTAAAAGTCTTGATGGATTTATTTCTTATAAATGCATAGCCTAGCTTTTCACTTCACAAGATATTAATTGATGGACTGGAGTTGTGTGGGATTTTCTTTTCAGAGTGAACTATTCCTTGAATCAGTATTACAAAACGTGTAATCAATATGTTAAAAAGCAGAATGGCTATTCTGACAATATTGTAGAAATCTTGAATTCATCTTGACTCCATTCTGGTGCATAGCATTCACTTTTCATGATCCAGTCAATTACTGATGGATAAAATCAAGTCCCGTCCTACTTTTTCATGTTGATTATCCTGTTGCACTTGGAAATGCATCCAATTATGCAAGTTAAATGTGCTGCAAACAGCAATTCACACTGACTTTAATGTCTCGATTTCTCATTTTCCACCATGCACAAAGTGCTCTTTTACTGGTTTATATTTTGGCTTTTACTCAAAGAAAATGAGGTGTAGGATGGAGTTGTGTAAGAACGTGGGTTTGGATTCCAAGTGCGTGTGTGTGTGTGTGTGTGTGTGGTGGGTTGGCCAATGACTCGGGGTATGGCAAAACGGGGCGTGGGAGTGAGCGTGTGGGTTGGCTTACCAATACAGGAGCGATTGTTGCCAGCCAGCTGGAAGCCAGGCTCACACTGGCAGGAGAATGAGCCAGGGACATTAACACAGCGATGTTGACAGTAGCGGTACCGGCACTCGTCAATGTCTGAAAAGTATTAAAACAAAATTAGATCACATATAAATTATTTGTATTCTTTATTGGTATGACTTAACAGACAATGATATATGATCTTGCCATTTTATGTAATTTAAGGCACACTATACTCATAAACTGGAAACCTCTCTGGGACTTAACCCTGGGAACAACTTAGTAAATCAGTAATTATATCAATAGGTGTGTATACAAAATTCCTAAGTTTCAAAAGCGTTTACTGATATTATTTATAGATATTTATATTATAAATATTAAGATAATATCCCAATAATAAATTGATATAATTAAGATAATATAACATAATATGAGATAAAAGATCATATTTAAAGATAATATTAGCTCTTGTCAAGCTAGTAATATCTTTGCAGGTACTGGAGCGAACTTTATCGACTCTTTTTGCCTGCAAACCTCAATTAATATTGAAATTGCACCCAATCCAAACTTTAAAAGATTAGTTCACCCAAAATGAAAGTCTGCCAACATTTACACCTTCATGACATCGTACCAGTTGAGATGCATCTTGATTTCACCATGTTTGCATGTAAATGAACCAGCTTCAATGCAGAGGAGGTTTACATGGTTTTATATTTTGGTCTGTTCCTCACTTAAATCAATGGTATGGCATTAGATGACTTGCATAAAAGATATTTTAAGAATATGGATAACCATACAGTTGATGGACCTCATTGACTTCCATTGTATGGGAAAAAAATACTGTGGAAGTCAATGGGAACCATTGACTGTTTGGTAAAATTTTTCAAAGTATCATCTTTTGTGCTCAACAGAAGAAAGAAACTTGAGCGTGAGTAAATGATGACAGAATTTTCATTTTTGGGTGAACTACCCCTTTAAGCGCACTTCTTTTTCACAAGGAAGTCTTGGAACGACGAGTATAAATAAATGAGTATAAATAAAAATCTTTGTGATTGATTTTTTTTTGGAGAGGTGAATTATGTTGTGGTATTACTACAAAATTAGACAGGCTTTTTCATTTCTCACCGATGCATTCTGTCCCCACTTTGCGATACCCATCTGGACACTGGCAGGAGAAGGAGCCTTGTGTAGTGAAACACTGCTGACTGGGGTGGCAGTCGTGACTGTCCTGTTCACACTCATCCACATCTGTTTTTGTGAGACAGAATCATGGAAATGTATTGTGGATCACTGGTTCGGTTTTTATCTTTCTTTGTCTTCTCAGTTTTGGCACTGGAGCTGCCATAACTGTGGAATGAAGTTATTGCAGCATTTATTGGTTCACAGCTCATGAGAAGTGAACGCTGTGTCTACATAGCGGTCTTGAGTAACGCTATCTCTATTCACTTCCTATTTACGGTAGACGACAGCTGGGATGCCTCAGTCTTAGTAAATTCTTCGACCCCCTGCTTACCAGCCCCCTGCCAAAACTTCAGCACAAATCCCACAGTTGCCTCATTGCAAAAACTAGCTGACTATTTCCCCTGACCACCTGTTTCTGTCTGAGTCATTCAAGCGCTAACAGTCAAAACTAAAACACTGCATGCTATAATCCCCCCTTTCACCATCTTGTTCACTAATACAACCGATTTGCATTTTCATTATGATCCGAACACACATGACATGCCTCGGT